GGGGAAAAAAAGGGGAAACAGCTTCTTTTTTTTTTTTTTTTTTTTTTAATAAACTAAACACGCTCACAAATAGTTCCAACGCATTGATGAATCATGAGGTCAACTGGTTTTGGTATGCCACTTATTTTTGCATCCTTGTTTGTCAGGTGTGACTGGTGGGCTGGCAGCCCCCTTAGTGGCAGCAGGGGCCGGCGCCGTACTCGGAGCTGGAGGGGCTGCCGCTCTGGGCTCAGCCACTGGCATAGCAATCATGGCCTCTCTTTTTGGAGCAGCCGGGGCGGGACTTACCGGTGGGTGAAAAGAGGAGTAAATGTCTCTTGTTCATTGCCCCAAACCTTCATTGTAATGTTGTATTTTCTACCCACTTGTTGGATTCACTAACCAAAGAGGTTTTGTTATTGAGGTGTGTTTGTAGTTTTTAACGTTATATTTTTCATCAGGGTACAAGATGAATAAGTGTGTTGGTGCAATAGAGGAATTTGAATTTCTGCCGCTCAGCTCTGGAAAGCGTCTTCACCTTACCATAACAGTGACAGGGTGGCTCTGCACTGGTAAATACAGTAAGTGTTGAGCATATTCTCGTTTATATTTGGAGCTCTGAATGCCATCGCACTAATTAATGAACATTTCATTCTTCTTCTAATTAAGCCCATACGAACGTTAGGTACACCTGGACTCTAATGAGATCCAAAACTAGCAAATAGTCTGCCTCCAAAAGTTAATGGCCACTTGTATTATTGTGGCTGTTGAAACTTAACGTAGAGAGGAGGTGTTACTTAACATGCAGTATCTAAGGAGCACTCTATTTGAAATTGCCACCCAGACGACTTGACATAAGAGGCTAACCGCTCTCATCCAGGCTCATTCCAGGCCCCTTGGTGCAGCCTGGGAGAGTGCGGAGAGCAGTACTGCTTGGTGTGGGAGTCGCGTTTCCTCAGGGACCTGGGCTCAGCCATGACCTCTCTTTTGGATGGGCTTGTCAGCATGATGGCTCAGGAGGCCCTGAAGTACACAGTTCTCTCAGGTAGGAGAAGAAGGCTCAAAATGATGTTCACCTTTCTGAAACATCTGGATGTGTTTTTCCGTGGGGTGGAACCTCTATAGGCGTTGCCCATGGTAAATCATAAAATCTCAATAATATAGTCAGTCATAAGACAAACTGTCCCCATTATTACCGTAATTCTTAAAAGCGCAAAAAGACATTTTCACTGTATATGAAGACATGGAAAATGATTGGATTATGCCTGCCATTTACGACAATGCATTAAAGCATAATCATGCAGATTATAGATACCTGCATATTCCTGGGAGGTGAGTCTCCTCACCAAAAGCCTAAAAAAATGATGTTGCAATGTCCAGGCATCCATGTTGCCTTGGTTTACTAAAGGATGGTAAACAATGCTTTAAATGTTCACCAAACTGAAAATCTTGCGTAACATATTGAAGTCTCACATTAAAATCTTTGAGGCATATTTTTCCGGAGAATTCTGATCAAATTCTAAGTCGTAAAACTGAAGGGATGTTTGAGTTCCACTGTATTCAGCACACACGTACGGTGACATGTAATGCTCCTCAACTCTTGGTGTTCAGTGACATGTTTCGACAATGTCGTTGTCCAGGTATCGTAACAGCTCTGACATGGCCCGCCTCTTTGCTGGCAGCTGCCAGTGTCATTGACAATCCCTGGTGTGTTTGTCTGAACCGCTCGGCCGAGGTGGGGAAACACCTTGCTCAGGTTTTGAGAAGCAGGCAACAGGTAAAGAAATGTTTTTTTTATTTCTTTGTTTGTTTGTTTGCAGCTGTTTGAAGCCTGTGGTAGTGTGTCAGGTGAAAGACATGTTCAAGAGCATCTTGTTAGAATAAGACAGAGACAATTCAAATTGATTGATTGAATTGCAGAGATTGAAATCAGGTTCTCCTCTGTATCTAAAGGGGAAGCGGCCAGTGAGTCTGATAGGATTCAGCCTTGGGGCCAGAGTTATCTACTTCTGTCTTCAGGAGCTCGCGAACGATCAAGGTATGAACATCAAGTTTCGTCTTAAGACTTACTTCTTTTCTATTATGTGGTACTTTACTCAGCTCGACTTGCTAGTTGCACCGGTCCTTAGGCAAAACTAAGTACAATGAGATGCTGTTTCCAACTTATGCTCTTTTAAGGTCATATCGGTCAAACTGAGGATGTGTGATCATGCTTGATTGAAAACATGACAAGGACAAGATACTTAATGTTCAAACTGATGAACGTTATTTTTTTGGGAAACATTGTCTCATTTTGAATGTGATGCCTGCAACAACTGGGACAAGCAATAAAAGATTGAGAAAGTTGAAGAACGCTCATCAAACACCTGTTTGGAACATTTTATAGGTGAACAAGTAAATCGGAAACAGCTGAGTGGCATGATTGGGTATAAAAGTAGCATCCCCGAAAGTCTCAGCTGTTTACAAGCAACAAGGTGGCGAGGGTCACCGCTTTGTCAACAACTGCGTGAGCAAATAAGTCTGGTCTGAGGATTTTGGTCTTGCTTATTTAAGCAAGACAATGCTAAGCCACATTCTGCACGTTACAACATCCTGACTTTGTAGTAAAAGAGTATGAGTACTAGACTGGCCTGCCAGCAGTCCAGAGCCATCTCTTTTTGAAAATCTGTGGCATTTATCATGAATCACTGGCAAGGAACAATCACATAAGTCATAGGAATGTTTTGTTTTGTTACGGTTCTCCAGGTAGTGAAGGTGTTGTGGAGGATGTGGTCCTGCTGGGTGCTCCTGTAGATGGCTCAGAGAAGGCCTGGGAGAGAATGACCAGGGTGGTGGCTGGAAAAATAGTCAATGGATACTGCAGGTAATCTGAGTTTACATATTAGAGGAAACGCTGGGTGTCAAGTTGCAATCTTTTTCGACTATTTAACAGCTGCTGTCTTTCCAGCAGGATTTGTGATTTAATTATAGCCCACTTAAATTTTCTTTCTTCCCTGTCCACCTTTCAGAGGGGATTGGCTCCTGGGGTTCTTGTACCGAAGCTCAGCTGCTCAGCTCTGTGTTGCTGGGCTACAACCAATCAGCACCCAGGATCGCCGTGTTATCAATGTAGACCTCTCCTCTGTGGTGAGCACTTTTTTTTTAATTAATTATTTTTGGGGGATAGAATAACTGAAGTGTTAGTAAGTTTTCAAGTGCATACCACTAATTAGTTCACGGTAACAGTTTCCGCAGCTTGACCATTCAACTGTAAAATGTCACATCTCTTGAAGTCTGTCAACTAAGACACTCTCGTTGGATGGAGCTTCAAATATCATCAGATTGATTAAATACATACATGGAATAGATCAAGATCATACAATAATATACCGCATCAAAATTTTCTGGTTTGGAATGCAGCATTAATATAAATAAGAGCTTTCAGAAATGTCAATCGGCAGAAAAATCCGCTTTCACAAGATTGGGTGACATTTATATTATTACATTGATTTTTGTTAATTTCCAAATTCCCGAACGGATTGGAGTTCATTCTTCTGTTCTTTTTATAATTATTGGTGGTTTGATCTGCTCTGAGGAGAACAAAGCAGACTACAATATTTTTGGATGAATATTACAAATATTAAATGAATAGATCAAAGTAATTCAGATGAAAATTCCGATTCTTAAAATTTTCTTCCAATCAGATATATATATAAAGTGCACAGCCGCAGCCTCATATGACATTCTTGAGAAAAAAACAATAGAATGCAAAAAGGAATGAATCAATCTCAGCTTTGAGTTAAAAAAATCTTTTCTTTTTTGTAAACAAATATTTTTTTCAGTACTGTAGATGTACTCCTCCCCTTTTCCCCTCCTTAGTTAAACTTAATAAAAGCAAGATAAGTAAAACTTAGTTTTGGGACTGGAACGGATTAATTGCTTTTGTATTCATTTCAATGATTTGTAAACATTTGAGGTTACAAAAGGGCCCACAGAACCGATTCAGTTCATAACTTGGGGTTCCACTGCATTTGTTTTCACTTTGCTGTGACTTAAATTTCAAACATTACAGTAGTTTTAACATCAGTGATTTATAAATCCCTGAAATGAAAACATTGAAAAAGTATGCGAAAATGGTGGAACCAGTTTATTTGAAAACATTTGAATAAGCCCCGGTGTTAATAGCACAATAACACAATACACTTCAGCAACCACACACTGAACATTTTTTTAATGAGTACAAAGATACGAAGTCTCAGCACAGAAAAGTTTTTTTTGGGGGGGGGGGGACTCAAGTCTTTTTTTTTCTTTTTTCATTGTCCCCACAAGTCTAAAAACATTATTCTGATTAATATTGTGTTGGTGGAACACCGTTGGCAGTGGCAGCCCCAGAGTATGTTTGTGTCAGTTTCAGACAGCTGAGGGCTGTATAATGTCAAATGGTAGCCACATGAGATGGATGAAAACTGGTTAATTTATCATCTTAATTCTTATTCAACCAGTACAATATAAATCAAAATACAGTACCATGTTTAGACTAGTGGGAGCACATTTCAAAGAATATTTTAACTTGAATTTCCCATTATGGATATCAAAAAAGGTTTTACAAAAAATGTACATAATAGCAAAGTAATGAGAAAAAAATATTGTTCATAAAAACAACAAAAAAAAGAAATACAGACATGTATTTAGTATTTTTATGTTCCCCAGGTGAAAGGTCACTTAGACTACATGCGTCAAATGGAAACCATTTTGGTGGCGGTGGGAATTCCTACCAAAGAAGTCCCGGGATCTTCCTTCGTGCTTCCTCAGCCTGTAACTATTTCTAAGGACCTAGTCGATGCCCCGGACAAAACCCAAATCACGCAGCAGTTGCGGGAAACTCAAAGTCCAGTCCAGCAGGCTGAGACTCTGATGGCAGATATTGGTGAGGACTCAACAAGGACAACGGAGATCGCCGATGGCTGGGATGTCCCTGATATCTCAGACCTGTTGGACGCTATCACTAGTGACGATAATGTGTCAAAAAGTCCACCCAGAGACCGGAACAATGTACCTCCCTGTCAGGAGAGTGACACTAACCACAGACCTGTTTTTAATGAGAGTGAAGAGCAGGCCGAGGCGAACGATGACCACGTCTCATGGAGCTGGGATGATCCATATTGGACTGCAGAGCACAGTCATCCACAAAGCGGACCGAAAATCTAAGAAGGCTGGTCTAGGACCAGCTGCTTCATTCAAGATTTTATCCACTATTTGTTTGAAGAGTCTTTTGAGGAATGGAGGAATTTTAACAAACTTGTCATGTGAATTGGATTCTGTACAAAAATTGAAGGCACTAGGGGGCGGTTTAGGGCAGGGATGGGTACCTGGCGGTGCGTGGGCCTCATGCAGGCCCCGACCACACTCTTGAGTGGCCCCATGATTACAAAAAAAGAAAAGAATTGGGGCAGGAGGTTGAAAAAATGTATTTGCAACAACAAAAAATATTTACCAAAAAACCCAGATGATAAACATTCAATATATGTTTTCCACAGAAAATGATGGTCTCGGTATGGGGGGGGGGGGGAAATCCCAGAAAAAAAGGAAAAGCAATGAAAAAAAAACAATCTAATATGTGAACCCACAGGTGCCAAACCATGAGTATGCAGGGGTCGACTGTGACTTAAAGTTTTGATCTCGCCATTTGATGGCAGACATGGCTTAGTTGTGCTTACACCAGGTCTTATATTCATCTATACTACTACAGGAGTAGGCCTCATAATTTTTTGCGGATTTGGAATTACATGCAAGACAAACAGTACCTCCTTACTATTGAAATGTTAAATTTTGTTTTTTGTAAAAAAAAAAAAAAAGTACACTATGAGTTCCACTAGAATGAGTTCTCACACTTAATGTTCGTTTGCTATTCAGCAATTTTGTGCCGTCCTTGAATGACCATTTTTGGGCAAGTGAGCCCTCTGCACTCTTGGACTTGATCCGCTTTGACCAGTAAAAAATGTTTTTTAGATTAAGACTATAACTCATTGATAGTGGTCATCCTTCCAGTCATTCAGTTTAATGTAACTACCTGATTGGGAAGAAGAAGAAGAGGCATTTCAATCCCAGCATGCTCGGCGTCCACCAAATTCACGCCGTCTGTGGCGGTGGCAGGTGGAGGTGTGGTGTCAGAGGTCAGAGGGGACGGGGGTTCGCTGCAGATGTTCGGCTCTCCCGAGTTGCGGAGGGACAGGGAGAGCGCTGGCGACGGTTGTCTTGGCAACCGTGAGGAGGAACAGGGCAAGAGCTTCCCAAGTGCTCGCTTGAAGTCCCTCATGAAGAGCGGGTAGATGATGGGATTCATGGTGCTGTTGCAGTAGCCCAGCCATGTGATGGCGTCGAAGAGCGCCAGGGGGACACACTCGCACACAGCCTGAATGAATTAACATAGCCAAATGAAGTTCACCCCTCTTTCAAGTTGAATAGACATTGCGATTGTCCTCAGTGATGAGACACGAATGATCCATTTGTTTCGGTTTTGAGTTGTGAGAAACAACTCCACTGTATTTGTAGCCTTATATGTTTTTTGTAATGCAACTTTGTACCTCAAGGGGTGATTGTGAGTCACAGTAGTGTGAATTTTTCAAGAGGATTTAACAAGATTTATTGTGTAATCAATTTAGAAACATAATTCGGATTTTTTTATTTTTTACTACAATAAATGGCTCACTGCTGGTGACCTCATTTTTTTTTGGGGGGGGGGGGTTATGTACATTCACCGGTTGGTCCCGCCCATTTTATTGCTTACACTTATCCCATTGAGATTTAAATTTCCTATGAAATTATCACCCATCCATCCATTTTCTGATCCGCTTTATCCACACAAGGGTCACGGGCGGTGCTGGAGCCTATCCCACCTGTCTTTGGGCAGTATGGGCGGGGTACAACCCAAACTGGTTGCCAGCCAATCTCAGGGCACACATAGATGAACAACCATTTGTGCTCACGCTCACACTCACACGTAGGGACAATTTAGAGTGTTCAATCTGCCTGCCACGCATGTTTTTGGAATGTGGGAGGAAACCGGCATACCCGATGAAAACCCACGCAGATCCGGGAAGAACATGCAAACTCCACACAGGAAGGTCGGAGCCAGGATCGAACCCACAACCTCTGCACTGTGAGGTCGACGCGCTAACCACTGGATCACCATGAAATTATCGTGAAACAACAACAACAACAACAAAAAACCTAAATTGTATTTAGATGTTAATGTATTAGTATGAATGTTTTTGCTTGGTTGTTTTTTGCTTTTTCCTTGGTATCGGAGTGCATGCATTTGAGTGAGACTGTAATTCCTAAACATTCAAATGAAAAAGGACAAGTAAAGGAGACAGCTGCTAGAGGACAGCTTCCAATACGATGAAGATGAGATGGAAGGGGGGTAGTTGAAGAGAAAAGAGGTGTGTGCGCGTGCGCGCGCATTTCACACGCCACATTGAGTGTGAGTAGGAAGACGTGAACAGGCACAGGCTGCTCTGTGTGATGCAGTTTTGGGCTGGGGAGGTCGGATGGGGGGCTGGTTGTGAGAGGGCACAGATGGGAAATCAAAATGTCTGCAGCATTGAAAGCTCGAAAAACAGCACAAGTGTCATCACAGATGAAGATGGAGGAGCTGTTTTGGAGCGTCGTTGCAATGATGAAAATCAACAAGTGAAGATAAATAGCAAGCATAAGTGGTGATGACAGAATGTTATTTTCTTAAGTCGGGAATGCGTCAGCCACACAGTCGAAATGCCAGTCTACAATGCATGTATGTCTTTATTGGACAGCTTGGACTTGATACCGTGACTGACAAATACAAAAATAGACCTGTATCCAAGGTTCTTGCTTGTGCGTGTATTTCACACTGAAACGGTCACACATCCATATTCATTTGAGAGAAGTGACAAAACAATCTCTGACTCAGTTGGACACCACAGACTGGAAGGTGAAAAATCTCCACTAATTTGCTGCTGTTTCTTGGAACAGCATCAGGCAGATGAGTCATTTTCATCAGACTTCAAGGTTAATGTTAGGAGGCAAACATTTACATCAATGAGGCTTTGAGAAAGATGATGGTTTGAGGTGGGGTGCAGATTTTGAAGGAAGAAAAAAATAGGCAAAAGTAGTCTTGTGGCACTCCTACCGGTAGCGGTGGTTGTACCAGTGCCTCCGGACACTTTTAACCTTCCTCTTAGGTTTGTTTGGTATGTCGAAAATGTGTTCGTCTTAGATTTATCCGGTGTCTATACTTGGGTATTTATTTGTCCGACGACATATCAAGCACGGTTGTTTCATTGAGGTTCACGTAACTGGTGGCAAATACTGTAGATTCACCCAGGCACTATCAGAAATGCCATGAAAATGTCGGAGAAAATACCCCCCAAAAAAAAACTGACCTGAGCCATGTTGATGATGAAAAAGGGAAGCCAAGTGCAGAAGAAAAGTCCCAGAAGAACTCCAAGCGTCAGGCTGGCCTTCAGTGCCCTCCGACCCTGTCTGTGAGCCAGATGGCGCTCACTGTTCACTGACGGCTACGGTCAGAAGTGAAATGTAAACGTATTGCAGCTTGATTTAGACTAAAGATGGTATTAGGTATTGCGGGATCATCATTTTTGTGAAAACAATACACCGGTATATATATTTCTGATAGGATAAAACGGAATGCATGTAGAGATCCTCAGTGGACATATTTTGTGTATGATTTGAGGTCAAGGTGTTCATGCTGCTTGTTGCTTCCAGTTTGGCCATAAATCTAAGACTTAGATTTATGGACACTTAAATTCTAAGTGAATATCAGAGAAAGAAGAAATGCCATTTTGTTTATTGTTCAGTAATTTTGCCACGTTTTTCTTTGTGACACCCTCCTCCAATCATTTATGTGTGAAAGTCTATTTTCGCATTGCTTTGAATTGGGATCAGCTTCTCGTGTCATCAGTTTTGTTTTTTACTCTGGCTATTGAAGACTCGTATCCTGTATATTTGTTACTGTACTCCTTGGTACCAACCACTTCTGTCTGGGTTCAGTTCAGTAGTTTTTTTTGTTTTGTCAAAAGTACCCGAATAAGTTATGAAATTTGAAAAGGTGCAGCTTAAACCGCTGAGTTTGCATTTTACGCGTCTTTTTTTTAAACCTGCTTTCATTGATGAACTAATGTCAGGCTGCTATGATGTCACACTTTTTACATAATTAATGGAAACATTGCCAAAATTGAAGCTGGCGATAAACTTTAAAGTGACAGTGTCATATACAATTGAAGGAAGAGTCATTTTGTGTTTATCTCCACCCTTTAGGAACGATACCACGTGGTACAGCTGATTGGGTTGTCAGCAAATTGGGGTGTGGGGAAGGTGGGCTATTAAAGACAAAAAAATCATTTATTAAATATATTTTCATTATAAAATTCAAGGAGTCTTAGTAACCGTACTGAGGTGGGGACTACAGGACACTTTTGAAATTCTCGGCTGACTGACTCATATCCGCATCACCAAAGCGGAGAAGTACAATGGCTATTAAAGATCAAAAAGTGCAGTACTGGACGGGTTGATGATACTTGCTAAGTACTGCGCTGAAATGTATGTCTGGTTGTTTAGTTGCACCGTTCAGGGCCTCTTAGACCTCTTAGCAATCTGTACCTTGCTCAAGCATGCCTGCACTCGTGAATCTAAATTTATTTTTTGTACTTGTTTGAATGGTCAAGCATGGTAGACTTACTTGATCCAATTCTAACAGTTGTACTTTAGCACCATATGCGATTATGAACGAGCACAGGTATGCAATATGAAATTACTTCTTTGCCGGGTTTACGGCACTTCAGCACGTTATCGTGTACCTTTACTCACTGGTATATTCTGTGGCACTGGGGCCTCCTGGTGACTGCACTCATCTCCATCTTGGTGAGCTCCATCCCCGAGTGAAGGAGGCTGAGATGGTTCCCCGAGAGAGGGATGAGGGTGCGGTGGGTGGCTTAGGGCCGCGACCCTCTTGGCTTGTCTACGAGCCGCCAGAAGAATTCGACAGTAGGTGAAGCAGATGGCACTAGAGGGCAAAAAAAAGGTGAGCAAGGATGCCACCAGAGCGAAGGGCAACGTGACCTGCAGGCGGCACTGAAAGTAAAGGCCGTGGATCTGGAAATAGGATGCCGGGTACAGCAAGTCCAAGTAGGAGCTGATGTTGGTACTTCCCCCTTCTGGGGACAAAGGCTGCCCACTCAAGAGTCCCAAGCTGTGCCATTTCATCTCGATGGGCAGGAACGAGGCGAACGCTGCTAACCCCCAAGCCCCTCCGACCAGTAGCAACGCCCGAGGCAGGGTCATCCTCTGCTTGTAGCGCAGTGGCGAGATGATGAAAAGGTAGCGGTCCAGGCTGATCATACACAGGTTGAGAATGGAGGCGCTGCAGCACATGACGTCAA